CAAGCAACAAGTCTTCACTAGTAAAAGTGATACTTGTGACATTCACCTCTTCATTGCTGGTAGGCACATGACCTTCTTCATTGCCAATGGACGCATAGACCATCTCACAGAGAGATTCACAAGCATTATCTTTTTGTTCCTCGATATGATCTACTCGCGTTATGTGACTTGCGACTACATCAACATCAAAGAATTCTTTTGGCAAAAATTCTTTTAAAGTGATAGGAGTTCGCGACTTTTGCTTGAAGATTCGACCTTCTTGAAGATTACGACAGTCATTAGTTTTCTTCACGCCCTTCTCTCTTTCCTTCCAGGTCACCATACTTTTTGTTAAGACCTTGCTCGCCTTACTGGATGGATAAGACTTTCGCCTCCTTCTTCGCATGACTAGAGTCCACCCTTCATCATCCACATCAGGCTGTAGCGTCTTTTCATCTTCATATACATGTTCCTGAAGAGTTGAATGAGCACCTTCTTGTTTGATTTCTATAGGATCAAGTGATCCAAATTGAATTATTGGCAATACAGACACCATGACCCTTTTATCCTCCATGGACTGCAGGGAACCAATGGACGTTTGATTCACACTCGCCTTGTCTTCTTCAAGGAGAATTTTTCCTTGTCTTGCCAACTCCATTACTTTGTCTTTGAAGACAAAGCATTTTTGAATGGGATGCCAGACCAATCGGTGATACTTACAGTAATTTGGATCGTCAGTATTCCTAGCCTCATCGGGTCGCTTCATCTCAGGAAGCGTGATCAAGTTTATACTTAACAGATCATCAAACATACCAGGGACATCAGAATCAAGAAAAGGGTACTCCTTATCCTGCATCTCCTTGAGAGTTGGTTTCCTCTTTCCTTGTTCTTGATGTGCATTGATCTTGTTGTCTTCTCTCCTGGTAGTTTTGGGAATAACCTTAAAGGGCGTTACACTTGTAGCCATAGCCTCCTTCTTTTCATTTTTAAATGGTGGCTTGCCCCCTTTCCTCGCTTCTTGTCTCTTTTTGGCCTTGTGAGGGTCAGGAACTGGCGGTTCTTGTCCATCAAGATTAATCTCTAACTTATGGGCTTTTGTGGACAATTCATCAAATGTTTCTGGTTGTACACCTTGTAAGATGTATCTAAGTCCCCAATACATACCTTGAATGCACATTTCGATCGCGAAAGATTCAGAAATTCGATCTTTGCAATTTAAGCTTAGTTTCCTCCAACGGTCGATAAAATCAATGACAGGTTCACTCTTCCATTGACGTGTATTAGAGAGTTCAGTCATGCTGACAGTTCTCTTTGTGCTATAGAAGCGACTAAGGAATTCATGCTCTAGCTGCTCCCAACTGTCAATGGTTCCAGACTCCAGATCCGTGTACCAATCAAAGACATTACCCTTTAGCGAGCGAACAAACTGCTTAACGAGCAAGTCACCATCAGTGCCCGCATTGTTACAAGTTTCCACGAAGTGTGCTATATGTTGCTTAGGGTTGCTCTTGCCATCAAATTGTTAAAATTTTGGAGGTTGATACCCCACAGGCATTTTCAAACTTTCCACTCTAGCGGTGTAAGGTTTGGTGTAACCACTATATGACTTGGTACCTCCACCAATCTTGTCCTTGATTGTACCTTCGATAAATTCCTTCAGATTGTCAACATGAATGGTGCCATCAGGGGAGATCGAAAATTCCTTCGCGGCTTGTGACTTCGCATCCTCTTTCTCCTTCTCCCTTGATGATGAGTCACCTTCATCTGGCACTTTGGATTTCTGTTTGGACATACTAAGGCTACTTTCGCCTATATTTTTCACCATAGTCATTAATTTGACTATTTTAGCATCTTGACTTTGAGCATGCACTACTAGCCCTTCGACAATTTTGGTTAGATTCGAAATCTGATCTTCCACAGTAGTGGTGTTAGTCATCATGACGGGCATCACCACAGAGGCAGCCGAATCACTTGGGCTATCAATAGATTCATCATGGGTTCCTTTCTTATTGGGAAGCATCTTGAGGTTTGCTTCTTCAGTCACAACGTTCGCCTTGGCCTTCTCTGCTAACTTCTTGGCCTGACTCCTTGTCAGAGGTGCAGTATACTGCGTCTCTTGAGTGGTTGAGACATCAGCAACTAAGCCTTCAAGAGAAAAGTTCACCTTCTTGAACTCCATTGAATTTTGAAACTGGTAAGTTGTTGGAAGAAAAGAGATGAGAGGCAGAAATGGTCCCATCGGGCGTGCCAGAAATTTGTAAGCACAAATTTTGTTGCCTAAAATAAAAGACAAGAAAACTTGCACAAATATCAAATTGATTAAGTCAAATAATAAGCGGGTTACAATCTCTGAAAATTCTTGAATCAAAGAAATTAATCCCCTGATTCTTTTCTTCGAATAGCTTCAATTGAAGGGGCGAAAAGACTTGTTCTCCAATCGAAAGGGTGTTTCCTACAATTTCGGCGTAGAAAACGATTGATTTGATGATGGCGTCAAACACTTGGAACTTTGAGTCTTCAACACTGACAGCAGGAGGATTTGTTTGACTTGACTTGGACTTGGATTTGAGGAAGAAAGCTCTTGAGGGAATTTGACAGAGTTTCTCCGAATGTTAGGGATTTTTCTATCTCTTTGCCTTGGGGGAAGACCTCTATTTATAGCCAAAATATGTAGGCTAGGTCTTCAAGAAAACCCTCAGAATCTTCCTGGCTTTTGGATCACTTGTTACCCAAGAAACCCATTTAACTTGGGCTTAAATAATGGGCCAACCCAAATAGTCCATTATGAATTAATAAATCAATTAATTCACTCTAACTTAAATGGGGATTACAAATTTAATTTGATTTAATAGCCCATATAATATTGGCCCAATTTGCCAGTCCAAAACATGATGGACTTCTGTAATTTAATTTAATTTAATCAAGATCGATTTAATTTAAATAAATCTTGACTAAAACAAATTAAATAAATTTTCTTTGTCTACAGTTAGAAAAATAAAAACTACTAACATTTGGTTAGATTACATCCACATTTAGCAAGACCTCGCCTTAGACCCAGATTAAGTTTTTTAGTTTCAATCTTAACTAATAGATTAAGAATTCATCGAGGAACTACGTAAATTTTATACAACAAAAATTATTTAGATAAGAAGGGTTAATGATTAAGTTTGAAGCTGTTTGGATTGTCATTTTTCTCTAAAAAAATGACAATGTAGCATTGTATTCTAAAAAATGACATATTTTAATAAAATCTCTTGAAAATAACAATACAAAAACAAAGCTCAAATCGTTTTGGGCAAAAAACTCCAGCGGCCATTAAACTGTTGGCTGGATCATGTTTTGACCATCGAACTATTTTTTGTCAATAATTGACCACTAAACAACTTAATCAGTAAACTCGCAACCATTTCGTCGGTAATTGCTCTTAATTTCTGAAATTAGCATTACATGTGGCAAAGTGCAGGGTCAATTTTGTCCAACAATTTTTCGACCGTTTACTTGCATAAATCCATCAACTGATAAGAAAAAAAAAGTGTAAGCCAATTAAACTAACTTCCATTCTCAAAATTCTCAGCCACTGCTCTCAAATGATCGTTGTCAAGATCAAGAGGCAACCTCAAATCAAGTTTTTGCACGTCAGCCCTGCTATGACTAATGAATTGAAGCAAGCCCTCTTTACTACTGCCATCGTAGACCAACAAAGAACTTAAAGAAACAGAGCCCCCTGCTAATTTTAATAAAACCCCATCCGCTAGAGTCCTAGAAGTCCTCAATTCCACTTCTTTGAGAGTCTCTAATCCCTTGATAAATGCTGAAAAAGACACGTTATCTCCCACGAACTCACAGCTTTTCAGCTTCAATTTCTCCAGTTTCTTGCAATTCCTCCATAGAAAATTGAGGCCATAATCAACCCCTTGAGTTCCACACAGGGAAAGAGAGTAAATTGAGTTTAGCATCAAGAACTGGAGCGAAGCCATTGTAGCTGAACAATTCGGTTTCACTTCCAGTTATAAAGACCGAGAGGTCTTTAAGAGGGCGGAGAGGTGCAATCCACTGGAAACAGAGAGGTCTGGAGAGACTGATGGGGAGCGAAGAGAGATGAGGGCAAGAATTGGAAAGGGAAAGCAGAGAGAACCCAGAAACGAGCTCAGCCAAGAAGCGGAGGTGACGGAGGTTGGGGCAAGAAGAGGCGAGGGACTGAAGGAGGTGATGGGAGAAAGAGGAGGAGGAGGAAGAAGAGGAGTCGGTGAGCGATAGAGAAGAGAGATAGGGATGGTGGGAGAGGAAAGAGGAGAGAGAAGGAATGGCATGGGGAGTACCGATGAAGGCGAGAGCGAGAGCGACGGTAGAGGAGCAGAGTAGACGGAGCCACCGCTTCGAGACTAAGAGACAGACACACTGCAAAAGATTTTCCCTTTCCTTCTCTTTGATGGTTTAATGAAAACTGAGTTATAGGGTCAGTAAATTGTTAGACAAAATTGCCCTTACGCTTTGCCACGTGTAATGCTAATTTCAGAAACTAAGAGCAATTACCGACGAAATGGTCACAAGTTGACTGATTAAGTTATTTAGTGGTCAATTATTGACAAAAAATAGTTCGATGGCCAAAACATGATCCGGCCAATAGTTTAATGGCCGCTGAAGTTTTTTGCCCAATCGTTTTTGTATAAAAACTCTCGAAATCCGAGTGCTTTAATTCCGATAAAGATAAAAAAGTAGTGGCCCAAATGGTATCCACATGTTGAAACAGATGGGCCCTATGACAACAAAATCAAATATAACAGCCCAATGTACAAAATCACCATTCCACTCCTAACCTGATCCAGTAATTCAAAAGTCACAAACTAAAGAAAGAGCAGTATCAAAACCGTACGAAGGTCAGCGCAGGTCTTTAGCTTAGCTGGCTTAGTTTAGTCTTCCCCAATCAACTAACCTCCGGACCCTGCTCAGGAATGCAACGGACAGTGACAGATTTCACACTTGTCCACTCCCGCCATGGTCAGAGCAGCCTTGAATCCCCAAATAAAGCTCCAATTGCTTTTCCTGTCTTTATAATATCCCTTCTTTTCTCTTTCTCAGTGGGCAATGTCCTTTGCATAACTGTACAAGATTAATAATGAAGATTGCAATTGCAGACACATTTCTGACTAAAAGCAAAGCACACAGATGCACAAAAAGCACTTCCTCCCACTCCAGAAAAAGCACGTATGACCAATCAACCAAAGAAAAAAAAACCAAAGAAAAAAGGGGAAAAATCCCATCAAAATTCGTTTCTTGCTTCTTCAGAAACCGAAAGAAAAAGAAAAGCCACTATTTGCCATTGCCCCGCCTTTTCGCCAAAGTATCTAGTGCTCATATATATATATACTTTCATGTTCATGTAGAGATGGGAATTTGCACTTTCTTGAGCATCACTCTAGTTATTGTTGCTCTGAATCTTCATCATCTCGATTATCATCATAATCATTTAGTGGTGATAGTGGTTGTGGTGGTGGAGTTATGGCGAGTTCGAGTGGGACGAGGAATGATGAAGGGGAAGGCGGGGGGCCTCGGCGGAGTTACACTAGGCTTCCCACATATTTGGACCAAAATGACGGCGACAGAAACGTAGCCGACAGCGAGTTGGTGCCATCGTCCTTGGCCGTCATTGCTCCTACTCTCAGGGTCGCTAATGAGATTGAAAATGACAATCCCGGGATTGCTTTTCATTGTAAGTAACTTTGTTTCATACTTCATACTTCATGCCCCACCAATATTGATTATACTAATGATATTGATAATTGCTGTCCACACTTTTATTCATTGATGATCAGGTCGCTTTTTGGTGCATAGTTTTGCTTTGTTTGTTTGATTAAGGGAAATGTTAGTGCTCAGTTGTAATGCGTAGAATACAGCGGTCATAAAAGTGTACATAACTATAGGAAAGCAAAAGGGAGTACAATCCGTGGATTAGTTTTGGTTTAGTTAGTTGATTTGTTTTAGAATTAGATTGTTTTAATAAATTGGTTCTGTTGAGAAGGCTAAATGAAGTGACAATGAGCATGTTAATATGTTGATGTTTGTATAAGCCAGGTCAATTTCCTCAAATTCTCAGTATCTAACAAAATCCCCTCTTGAAGATGGTTTGAGAAAATTATAAGCATGACGTCCGATGATGCTTGACTTATTGTGAGATTTCCGTGTTCATTACTTACTTCCAGGATCAGTTATCTTTTACCTTTTACAGGATTTTGCCGATCATGTATTTGTTCATGCCTTGCTGATGTGATTAACTTCCTTTAATCAAAATAATAAACCTATATGTTGTTGATATGTTTTACTTGCACATGGTGATTCATCAACATGTCTGTGGTATCACTTATTACAATGAAACATGCTAAAAAGGCTGCACAGAGATGCAATTTTATTCTTTTGTTAGACAGATTTGTTCATGTAATAACATTATGAAAGACAAAAGGAATGATTATGCACCTGAGGATCTTCAATTAACCCCTTATCATGAGTTAAGAAAGACTTTTGTACGATTGTGTTTAGGACTCTTGACTGGGCGGTGAAGCAACTAATCAGACATCATCTTCCTGAAGCAGCAATATCTTATAGAACCAACATTCACAAAATGTTAATTCAGGATTGGCTAAATCAAACTTCAATCACTCTTGTCTGAGCATTTTGAACTGCTGCTATAGAACTGATGATTTGGTCACTGTCTTTAAGCCTCCTTTTTAAGTTTTGTGCTTGTTAAAATTAAGGATGAAAGGCATCTGAAATGCCTTTTTAGAAAATAATTTGAGAAACAACGGTGCAATAGTGGTGCCTCTTCCTATGGGGAATGGATAATGGATAGTCTACAAAAAACCAAAAGGTCATTCTTGTTACAACCTTAGTGGGTTTACCATAGTAGTTTTACTCTCAGAAAGGATGTTAGATGTGGAGAATAATGCTTTGGGCCTGTGCACCTCTGAAATGATATAGAGCAAACATTAATCTTTAGTGATTAATTTTGTTTTTTTTTGGTGGCGGCCTGTGCACCTCTGAAATGATATAGAGCAAACATTAATCTTCAGTGATTAATTTTGTTTTTTTGGTTGCTTGCCTTCCTAAAATGTGTTGTCAGTTAGCCCATGTAAAAGTTTCATAGAAGGCATTTTGCTTGTAAGTACATCTCATGAATCGCTTATTCCTCATCAATATGTTTTCAGTTTCTTATGATTCTATTTTGGGATCAGGCCGCTTCCGTGCATTCGAAAGAGCTCACAGGATGGATCCAAGTTCAACTGGCCGTGGTGTTCGTCAGTTTAAGACCTACCTGTTGCGCAAACTTGAAAGGGTAGACCTGATATTTTTGGACTTCTTTTATTATGCTAAGCGTGGTCTTTTTCTTCTTGGTGATCATTCACTAGACATATGCAATCTCATTGTGCTATTCAAGTATCCCAAGTGTTGGTGTTCTTCCTCCTCATGTTTCATTTGGCTTAAAATATTTTCTCAGTGGAAGTTACTTCTAAACTTTGACCACTAAATGCTTATTCAGCTGTCATGAAAAGTGTAATTGTCCTCAATCCTTTCCTACATGTCCACTTTTACATTCTGCTAGCTTCTCTCAGAATAAAAATGGCTATATGAAAATGCTTAGAAACTTTGTAATCTCAGCCTTTTTTTTTTTGCTTCTTTTCTTTACCACTTCATTAGATCTTGAAGTACGACAATTGTTCTACCTGTGACATCGTCGAGGCTACTTCATGGCAGATTGGTTACAGTCAAAGGGTGCCACACATTTTAGATTTGGATGATAGTCAAGTGTATGCAAATGCTGAGCTTGGGATGGAAGAAATAGAACTTTGTTAGAATATTCTTAGATGCTTGATAAGGTTTTAGGAACAAATTTTCGGTTTTCCCAAATCTATCAAAATACTTCTCACAAAGTGAACTCCTTCTGATGAGACATGCACTGTAGAATAAGGTAGATGATAGCTCGGAATAGACATCAGTAGGCATCCAAGATGCGGTGCTTCCATTAAGTTGAGCACTTAGCTATAGTAATTTACACTTCCTGACAAGAGGGATAACGTTGAAACTGGAGCACGTCTAAATTTTTATTGTTTTCAGGATGAAGAACAGGGTAGAGGACCAGAAACTGATCCCAGAAAAGTCCTAAGATATTACAAGAACTACTATGAGCAAAACATTAGAGAGGGCCAGTATACAAAAAGACCGTGAGTAGTGATTAATTTTTGTGGAACAAAAACATATATTCTCTTTGATACTTACTTATTTTATTAATTGCTCATGAATTCTTTGTTTATCCCTGCTCTTTGAAGAGAGGAGATGGCTAAGATGTGCCAGGTTGCAACTGTATTGTATGATGTGATCAAGGCAATGCTACCTTCTCACAGGATTGACCCTGAGGTATGATTTATGTAGTTTTGCAGCTCTTCGTGAGTTCAAAATAATGTTCAGCTTGTGGTTTGAGAGTTAATAAGAACTGTTTGAGGCTTGTAGATACACCGATACGCTGAAGATGTTGAGCAGAAGAGAGAACAATATGAGCACTATAACATTCTTCCATTATATGCAGTTGGAATTAAACCAGCGGTTATGGAACTTCCCGAGGTTGTATTACAACAGTGCATGATGATCTTACTGTTAATAGTACCTTTTGACCAGCTCATTTTGAATGTATCTATCCGTGCTCTTTCTCTGTTATCCATCGTAATAACTTTTCTTATTTGCTTCATTAGATTAATGCAGCACATCGAGCTTTACAGAATGTGGTTAATCTTCCTCCAATCCGGATGCCAGAGAACAAGTATAAATCAGTTAACGATATTCTTGAATGGCTTTACCTCGTCTTTGGCTTTCAGGTAACTTCAAGAGCACACTTTAGACGACTCTTCCAGAATCAAGAATGCAATCACTAGGACCTGGTTTTTCATTTTGATGCTAAGTCCACTGCTTTATGGTGTTAAGTTACTTTCAGACTTCATTCCTTGTTTCTGGCTGTGATTGTGCTAATTTATTCAGAGCATATTGTTTCCCAATCCAGAACAACAGAGCTGCTACCTTGCATATGATTATCTGGAGAAGTCATAGGTTTTTAGGATTTAATAAGCTAATGTCAGTAGCATATTCATCTCTGTTTCAATGAGTTTGGCTTCCTGATCTGGTAGTGAGGATCAATACTCTTAGGATTGTTCATTTCACTTTATCTCTCTCTGTGAAATTCTTATTTAACTTCCCTGTTGAGTTTGACATTCAATACTGGTCAGCTTATCTTTCTATGTTGGCTGACCGCATTTTGGGGAATGTAGAAGGGAAATGTAGCAAATCAACGAGAACACTTGATATTATTGCTTGCAAATATGGACATACGAGATAGGGTGGATGACCATTATGAGCTGGTAAGACTTAGTTGTTGCTTCATAAGCATCAATTTGAACAAGTTTATAGAAGCAGGGAGAAACTATTTCCTTCTCTATTTTTCCCTTTCAACTTTCATTTTCATGCTTTGATGGTTCAAACAAAAATTGTTGCAGTTGGGTGATGACTCAGTCCAGAGACTACTGGATAAAATCTTCAAAAATTATCAGTCGTGGTGCAAATATTTACACTGGCCCTCTAATCTCATGTAAGCTGCTAGTTGTAGCTAAACGAAGCGGATACTAGATCCTACAAATTCAATATGGTCTGCCACAGTTCATTTTTTGACCTTTACTTTGTTCCTATCGCAGATTTCCTGATGGTTCAAACAAGCAACAGTTGCAGCTGCTATACATTGGACTTTATCTTCTTATCTGGGGTGAAGCTTCGAATATTCGTTTCATGCCAGAGTGCCTCTGTTATATTTTCCACAATGTATGTTTTTTGTTTTTTGCATATATTACCCGGAGTTGTATGTATATGACTTTTTTCTTCTTAGAATTATTTTGCCTTTTCTTTAGTTTCCTCTCTTATTTAATTGTTTCTTTCCATTGTTCTTCTCAACAAAATGATAGTTAACGAAACTTGACATCCTATTTCATTTACTAAACTTCTCCAGTGTAGTTCAATTTCTGATAATTGTAGCTTCACCCCATTATTTGATGCTGCAAAATTATCGAACTTCTTTGTCAGTGTAGGCATGACTCTTCTTGTTATCAAATTCAGTAGTGTTTATCTTTGTAATAGATTTCTCTGTTAAGAGGAAATCATCATTTCTTTCTTGGTATTTTACTGCTTGTTTTCTAACCATCAATCTGGCTTCACAAAGTACATGGACCTATTAAACCAGTAGGGTGTGTTTCTGGTTTGGTCTGCTTGGATGCCACTGGACAAGGGTGTCCATTAAGATCAATTCATCCTGTTGCTGCAAAAGATGCTTTCTATGGATACTAGGTGTAGTACAGTATCTTGATCGTTAAACCAAGAATCTTCAGTAATTGGAATTTGTTAGTTGAATTTCTTTTTAATGATTGCATCAGAACATGGATGTCAGAAATTGGAATGAAGTTGATGAACTATTGTGGTAAATGATTGCAGTTATATACAAAGTTTCAGTTTTAGTCTTTCATCTTGTTTTTGGTTGGAAAATCTTACTAGCTATCAGCAGAATCAGTCATTAATTCTGCTTGTTGCTTACTTTTGTCTCTTTTTATGGTCCTAATTTCTTGTTTTCTGAAAGTAAAGATGGCAAAGGAGGTACAAGGAATTTTATTTGATGATACTCACGCTGTCACTGGAGGTGCATATCAAGTAGCATCACGTAGTGAGGAGCATTTCCTGCAGGAGGTTATAACTCCTTTATACGATGTCCTGCGGAAGGTGATTAACAGAAAATGCTACCTTTTCTTTGATTTATGTATTAGCATGCTTTATCACCTAACGGAAATATCTTCACTGGAAAAGGAAGTCAGGAGAAACAGAAATGGAAAAGCAAGTCATTCAGTGTGGAGAAACTATGATGACCTAAATGAGTACTTTTGGTAATTTCTTTGACTAGGAGGATTGATCTTGAGCTTCATGTAAACTCTTGTTGTTTGATTTGTAAATTGGCCTTCCTTTCTTTTTTAGGTCAGGAAAATGCCATAAGTTAGACTGGCCATTGGATAAAAAATCACATTTTTTTGTGCATTCGGATGATAAACAGCCAGAAAATGTGGTATGTCTATATACATGGTATGGTGTTTTTGACATAGTATTTCTTCTCTTCACACCTTTTCTACTGTTACTGAGTGAGCATCTACTTGCAGAGTGGTGGTCACCATGTTGGAGCAAGAAAAAGAAAGCCCAAGACGAATTTTGTTGAAGTCCGAACATTTTGGCACCTTTACAGAAGTTTTGATCGACTGTGGATCTTTTTTATTTTGGCTCTCCAGGTACTGCCGAGTGCCATAAATATGATTTAAGTAACTTGAATAATACTTTGGGTAATTTTTTTTGGCCATTCCATCTTCTCAAAGTCATCAGCATAACAAATGAAAGAAGATGACACGAGAGAAAAACAAATACTCATTGTGAGGCAGAATTGGAAAAAACAATCTTGAATAAATAATTATAAATGTATATGGACCTATTAAACCCCTTATAATGTTTGAGAGATAATACTCATGGAAGCACTTCAAAGCTACTCCTAAAGCTACCATATCTTCTGGTTGAAATTGTATCGTCACCTTGGCAGGTAGACTCGATGACTGATAATACTTAAATTACTATTTCTGATGATATTGGCAAGCCTTTTGATATATAGGACACAGTACGGTCAGAGGGCATCTAGCAATGTGATTTGATGATGGTGCAACATTAGAATGGTAGCTCTGACAATCTATTAAACGTCCATAGATGGGACAGGGTCATCTTCCAACAAGCCTGTAGGAATCTTCCTGGTTTTAGAAGCTAAGCAAAATATATTGAGATGAGGAAGAAAGAGAAGCAAAATAAATATACGGCGATATTTTGAGAATAAAAATGCACAGAATAAGAGATTCATGAATTGATGTCTTAGTAATGTAGTGGAGAAAAGCATTCAAACTCCTTTAGTTTTGACAGTTTTCTTCTTATATTAGCTGACTCTTTTATCCTTCTTGTTTTGCTTTTAATTATGGTTTCAGGCAATGATTATTGTTGCATGGCATGGGGACGGGTCCTTAGCTGGAATTTTTGATGCAGATGTGATAAGGAGCGTTTTGAGCATTTTCATTACCGCTGCTGTTCTAAATTTTCTGCGAGGTATCAGCTAAAACTTACTCAGTACTTGTGTTTGCCTATGTCTTATATCACAATTTCAATTTGGTGATACTCTTCTTGTTTTCTTCTTACCATCGGAAGCCTTAAAGATTTTCTTCTTTATGAGTGTATAATGCCTCATTCCTCTTGAGCATGGATAACATCATTTTGTTTTCTTTCTGCCATTATTACTGCAGCAACTCTGGATATAGTTCTTAGCTTGCGTGCATGGAGGAGCTTGAAATGTAACCAGATATTTCGCTACCTCCTGAAATTTGCAGTTGCAGCTTTCTGGGTTGTAGTCATGCCAGTTGCATACTCTAGATCTGTTGAGAATCCAACTGGACTTGTCAGGTTTTTTAGTAATCTTGGAGGATCTTGGCTCTACCAGTCACTCTATAACTATTGTGTTGCAATCTACTTAATACCAAACATATTGGCTGCTGTCCTATTTCTGGTTCCTTATTTGCGGAGAACCCTGGAGCGTTCGAATAATTATGTCATTATCCTTCTAATGTGGTGGGCTCAAGTAAGAACACACAGCTCTTTTTGCATCTAGTGAATGTAGTTTCAATATGTATGGTTTTCATATGTGGCAACTTTGACTTCCAGCCAAAGCTATATGTTGGAAGAGGCATGCATGAAGACATGTTCTCGCTTCTGAAGTAAGATATAAGATTCTTCTATTTTGTCATATATACATACCATCATGTAAAATGTGTACTAATTTTATACCACAGCAGCAAGGATACGCATGTCTTACTGCTTCCTACTTTTTTTTTTTTTTAATCATGCTGTTGTTTGGATAAATATTGGGGGTTGGGGAAGGGTGTGTGTAATCATTACTTCTCTATAACCAAAAAATGAATATTTTCTTCCTCCACTCAGGTACACATTTTTCTGGATAATGTTGGTGATAAGCAAGTTAGCATTCAGCTACTATGTTGAGGTGATAATGTCCGCTTCGCTAGTTATTCATTTTTTTGACAAGCAATACTCATTATTTACTACCATAACCTGTATACAGTTAATATAGCATGAATATTTATAACTTCTCTTAGAAAACCGTTGGCATATACCTTGATGTGGAGATTTACCTAGGGGGCCAACATATGAACCAACGATGCAATTTTTTTTTTTAATCTTTCCAAATTGGTTTTTAGTTTCAAAAGCTATTCTATTCCTTTCTGGCTAGTCTTCAGCAGACTCAGGAAGCTAGTTGCCAAGCTTCTTGTCACTCTGATTCTTCCAAACTAGTTCTCCAGAACCTGAGTAGGTTCATTGCCTCACTTGGCTTCAGAAGAAGTAGATTTAAAAATTAGACCTGTCAGCTGCTTTATGATGGTAGACTAATAGATGGTCTGTATCTTCTCCAAGCATTTTAGACCAACCCCAACTGATTGGAATTGCTTTCCTTTTTCTCAAGTTCTTGGCCATATGTATGGCATACTTTGCTGCAGTTCTGCAGACAGATTTGCAGGGAAGGATTTCCTCCCTTCATTCCACTAAACTTCTCAACTGGACTTAACTGAGACACTGTCCACCTTAATCTCTTTCAGCTCCATATATAATTCCCCGTTACGTATACTGAGCTTCATTGAGAAGGCCAACTGAGCCTGAAAACTGCTCCTTTCTCAATCTTGTAATGCCCATCTGAACACCACACTCTGTCCAACTTTTTCTGCTTTGTTGTTCAATTATCAACCCTGGCTACCTTGTTACGGACAATTCTGCAAAGATTTGGAAGGGGTAGTTCAGACTTTATTGTCATCACTGCACATCCTTAGCAAACCTTATTCTAGCCCTACGCCTTACCATCAACTTGACGTCAGCTGTGAAATTTCCTATTGCTTATGTTACTCATCCAAAACTGCAACAAGTTTCAGTTGTTCTCCATCCTAATTGAGTGCCTTATCTTTCTGTGACCATTTTTTTCCATCAATCCTCTTGTTCTTTGGAAAATTTCCATGGCAGTTATGTAGAAGTTGAATTTTTAAGTACTTCCCTAAATGTTATCATTGTTTTGGAGTTGTTCAGGGGGCACTTAGTTTTTATCAATAGTCATGATGAACAACGAAGGATTTGTGATGTGAGGATCATGGTTTGCTGAACTATGGATACCAATTTTGATGCACTAACAATTTATGTTAGAATATAAAAAGGCACCTGACTCGACTGGATAGGTGTGAAGATTGGACACCATTTGTCACCTTAACACTTAGATGAATTAAGGTTGAGGCTCTAAATTTACATTATCTTTGGAGCAACCTAACCAATTGTCGAAAAGGCATCTATTATCCAGCAAGTCTTTAGAAACTAAAAGGAGATGGAAGTGTTTATTGGCACTTCAAAATGTTCCATATAACCTTCTGGATTTGCAGTTATATCAAATTGCTCAAGTCTGACTTTACTCCATTGTTTTGTTCATTTTTGGTAGATTTTGCCACTGGTTGAACCAACTAAGGTCATAATGGATTTGAGAGTTGGTAATTATGAATGGCATGAGTTCTTCCCGCATGGTAATGTCTTTGTGGCCTTTTTAGCTACTCTGTACTTTGCTTTTCATTCTCAGGTGCAATTTTGTGAACTGGGAATTGGACATGATGCAGGTAATTATAATATCGGTGTTGTGATTGCTATCTGGGCTCCAATCATCCTGGTAGGTGCATAGGAGGATCATTTATCAGGAGGAAAGCTATTCTAGCATCTATAAATCATTAACAAAATTGATTGGTTCGTAGGTTTATCTCATGGATACACAAATTTGGTATGCTATATTCTATACAATTATTGGCGGTATATATGGAGTGTTCAGCCACCTTGGCGAGGTAAGTGCTATTTCTTGTTTACTTATTCCTCCTTTATATCCCTTGGTGGCACTATAATCTTGCTGTTTCCATCCTCTAAAAATACTTTTTTCAATTCTTAGATAAGGACATTGGGAATGTTAAGGTCAAGATTTGAAGCTATTCCTTCTGCTTTCATTGACTGTCTTGTGCCATCTTCAGAAGAGGAAATCAAACAACGTAAGCAGGTAGTTCACTTTCTCCTGACACTGTCCTTCATATTTCATGGTAGGCTTCAAATGGTGTAAATTGTTAAATACATTGACAAGCATTTTTTCCCTTTGTTGCATCAAATTTTTGGGTTTAACATTTTCCTTTCCTTTCACTATTACAATTAGCCATCTGTTTCAATTTGATTGAGGCCCAATGGGTTCTGACAGGAAACTTCATTGGATAGAAAGAGTGTTTCAAAATTTTCTCAGGTGTGGAATGAGTTCATACTATCGATGCGAATGGAGGATTTGATCACCAACAGGTTTGGACTTGTTCTATAAGGTTCTTCATTTTCAATATTGCACATCATTTGCTTTTTACTCAAGTTCATCACCTATTTTTTAATTAATTCCAGGACTATCCATCTGCTTTCTCTGGCTTCTTGTCATTAGATATGCATCACATACATCTGAATAAGGTTTTAGGAATAAATGATTTCTGTTTAAAATTCAAATTGTCAGGGAGAGAGATTTGCTGCTTGTACCATATGTGGCAAGTGACATCTCTGTGATCCAGTGGCCGCCTTTCTTGCTTGCTAGTAAGGTGAATAGTTGATGGTTACTGCATTTCGTTTTGATAATGCAATTCATGTATTTGGAAATCTCACATTCTTACCTATACATGTTAGATTCCGATAGCGCTAGACATGGCAAAAGATTATAAAGGAAAGGATGATATTGACCTGTTCAACAAGATTGCCAGTGATGACTTTATGCGTTCAGCTGTCACTGAATGCTATCAGACACTCGGATATATATTAGAGAGCCTTTTCAGAGAGAGCGAGGATAAACAGTATGGCACATTATTGGGATTTGAATGCTGAAAAGCTAGATCCATCTTTTCTTTCATGATGAGAGGCAGTATTTTTCATTTGCCTCTCGTTCATAATGCTTGTGACTCTTAGAGCTTCTTTTCTTATTACAGGATCATTAATTGGATACGTCATGAGGTACATGAGAGCATGAAGGGAGGGAGATTTTTGAGCGAGTTCCAAATGAGTGGGCTGCCTTTTCTCAATGATAAGCTAGAGAGATTATTATTTCTTTTGGTGAGTTTAGCATTGTAGTTTTTCTGTTTCCTCAGCATTCAAATCTATTACCAGCAAAGCAATACATTAGGATGTTATCGTTATGCTTCTACTAATATGTTTTGCAGACAACAGATCATGAGGACAGGGAGCTATATAAATCCCAGGTTGTCAATGTTGTTCAGGATATTGTGGAGATTATCACTCATGACATTATGTATAAGGGACATGAGTAAGCATGTTATCAGTAAATATGGGTTCTTAGTTGCCATATTTTGTATTTAACTATGTCTGCATTGGAGAACTGCCCCTTATTCTTGATATGCTCTGGGTTTGTTTTTGTCTAGGATCGTAAGTAGAGATCCACCAGGGAACCAGAATGAGAGAAAAGAGCAGAGGTTTGAAAACATGAACTTTGAGCTCACTCAGCACAGAGATTGGAGAGAAAAGGTTTTTGGCAGTCAGTCATTTGCTTCTGTTATAGTTTCCTTTTCTTCTATTGATCCTATTTATACTTAGGCTTCTACTTCATCTACATCCTTCTTCTGGGCATAGGCTGTCAGGCTTCATTTACTTCTGACTGTGAAGGAGTCTGCAATAAATGTGCCTACGAATTTGGAAGCTCGTCGTCGAATCACTTTCTTTGCAAACTCCCTTTTTATGAACATGCCAAGTGCTCCAAAAGTTCGCAACATGCTCTCTTTTAGGTCAGTTTTAGTTAAGTTGTTTTGAAATACTTGCTTTTATGGTGACAATATCTGTCACTTTTATTGATTGTGAGTTCTCTTTGGTTAACGTCCTGAATAATAGCTGTCAGAGCTGCAAAATTGTCTCCATCTAAGAAAATTGAATTAAATTGTAAAGAAATAAAGAAAATGTAGCTTTACCCCTTTATATTGTAAATAGCAGAAGATATAAAATACAGGTTTTTGAAATAAGAAAAAAAAAACTGAAAATGTTCCCACTCTTATGAATGAAGTTTGTCTACAGTCTGTGCCATATTATCAACGACGTTGCCCTTTTCAATAGAAGGGAACGGTGAAGGTGTTTCGAACATTGAACCTGCGGGAAAACTGTGTACTATGTTGCCTTACTGTCTCGAAATAAAAGGGACATTTTTCCTTGGAAGAGATAAAGAAGAGAGAAGAGCTGTAGTGTGATTACTTCTGCAGTGTAAACAATAATTTCTTATCAATTTGATATACGACGGGTAGCTTTTTACACTGCAAGAATACTACCTTGTCCAGCACTTATCACAGTCACCAACCGCTTAAGTGTTTCTCTACTGACCCAAAAGCCTGCCAAAAACACATGTAAAGGACTAACTACAAGTATTTATGTAAAGCTTAAATGTGTGACTGGATGGATGACTGTGGACCAAGCAGTAGTTGCTTCCAGCTGGTAAAGTATTTATGAGAGTCAAAATATGTACGTGGGACTTTTCCAGAGTTCTGGAATGTTGATCCTCCAACTTTCAACACATCTCTGCAGTCATAGTGGGTCAACCTTAGTTGTTGAGACAAAGTATGGCTAACTGTTGTTGCAACTGCTTACAAATCATCCTAGGATCACAAATGTGAAACATGAACAGAAAATCAAGGGAATTATGCTTTTCATTTGTAGCTTTTTGGGTTTCCTCTTTGCCAGTTTTAGCTTTAATTTGGGATGGGAGTTCCATGGCAGAGATAGATACTTTAATATTTAACCTTAAATCTTGTAAATGAAATTCAGAAAGACAATGAGCATTAAACTACCCCAAATATACAAGGGAGACTGAGTCTTTATAAATTATAACCATAGATGCAGATGGTTTCTGACTTGTGTCTCAAACCAAAACTAGGGTAAGCAATCTGTGGCTTATTAAGTGGGCAAAGTGCTACAAGGGCATTCATAAGATGATGGAAAAGTTTGACACGAATTATGTGCAGCATGACTTTGTAGGCAGCATTTACATATTTTTTGTAGACCAAGCGTACTGGAAATCTGACATGGGAAACTTTTGAACAAGATCCCCCTGGTGATGCTGTAGAGTTTAGATTAGAGTTCCTGATTTGGACTACTGAAACAGCTTCCTGTTGATGAGAATATTTTAAAATGATTTTGTTGTAATTTGTGGCTTAAGAAAATATAGGATTTTAAACAGTGAAGACATAACAACTATATAGGGACTTTTCTTTCCATCCAGAAATCCTCGCATCATTTGCTGATTTACTTCTGGGTCATCACAGATGATTACCCCATGCATGTCACTTTTGGTGTATTGGAGATTGGAGCACTCTCTGACCCAAGTTCTCTCTTGTTATTCAGCATCTTGACTCCATATTATAGGGAAGATGTTTTCTATTCAGAAGAGGAGCTTAACCAGGAAAATGAAGATGGAATCTCAATTTTATTTTACCTTCAGAAAATATATCCTGGTAAGTTACAGTTTGACAGCAATCAAGTGCAGAAAAATTATTGGTTAAACAGACATTTTCATCAATTCATGTTGCATCTTCACAGATGAATGGAGAAATTTTGAAGAAAGATTGAATGATTCAAAGTTTGGATACACTGAGAGAGACAGACCAGAATTGATACGCCAGTGGGTATCTTATCGCGGGCAGACGCTATCCAGAACAGGTTCATAAATAGAGAACTCTTGCGTTACTTTCTCTTTCTTTCAGGGATATGATTATGTATTTCTTAATCATGCCAACTTGTTTCTTTCCATCTGGGGCCAGTCAGAGGGATGATGTACCACAGGGAAGCTCTAGAGCTCCAATGTTTTCTGGATGATGCTAATGAGAATGGTTGGTGCTTCAGGAATCATGTTTCAAACGCTGGTTCATGTTACTGTGTGCTCATATTTGTGTAACACACTCATAAAACATAATGCTCGTTTCACTTGCAGAAATATTTGCCAGTTATCGTGCAGTTGTGCGCCATGAATCTCAAAGGAAGCTTAAGAGGCGTTCACAAGCTTTGGCAGATTTGAAGTTTACCTATGTTGTGTCTTGTCAAATCTATGGTGCTCAGAAGAAATCCAGTGAAAGTCGAGATCGTAGTTGTTATGTTAACATTCTCAATCTCATGTTGACGTAAGTGTTCAAGGTCTAAATTTAAATGCCTTATAACTGCAAATAATGGTTAAAATATTGACAGAAGTGTCCAAACTACTACAGGTATCCATCTCTTCGTGTTGCTTATATAGATGAAGTAGAGGACACAATTGCTGGGAAATCTGTCAAGCATTATTATTCTGTTCTTGTTAAGGGAGGGAATAAGTTGGATGAGGTATGAAGTCTAACTATGCCAAATTGCAAAATCAAACACAGTTATTTAAAAGTTATGGTTAAGTTTTTATAGGATTATGAATTATTATATCTTCATTTTTTTTTTGTGAATTATTATATCACTGGGTTCCAATAGACAAATGCTCACCTTTTGTCATTATCAAGGAATATCTTCTTAATTTCATCATCTATTGGAACATCAGGAAATCTACCGTATTAAACTTCCTGGGCCTCCAACAGAAATTGGTGAAGGGAAACCTGAAAATCAAAATCATGCCATTATATTTACCCGTGGAGAAGCCTTGCAGACTATAGACATGAATCAGGTAGGTTCCTCATTTTTCCTTTATTTATATAAAGTGCCAAATTGCTTACTGTTTTCCTGTAGGACAACTATTTTGAGGAAGCATTCAAAATGAGAAATGTATTGGAGGAACTTCTAAAGATTCATCATGGACAACGAACACCAACAATATTGGGACTGAGGGAGCATATATTTACTGGAAGGTTGGCGTGCATTTTTGTCACCAAAGTTTGTCTTAATCTGAATATGTATTCGATTATAGATTGCTATATACTCACATTGGCTCTTCCCAATTTGCAGTGTTTCTTCACTTGCTTGGTTCATGTCCAATCAGGAAACAAGTTTTGTGACTATTGGACAGCGAATTTTGGCTAACCCTCTCAGGTAATGTTTCTTTGAAACCTCTTATTGCTTTAGTCCTCGGAAAAAGGATGTACCACGTCCAGTATGAACCAGGTCAAATGCTTCTGTCAATGTCTGCATATAAAAAAAAATCACAAGAAGGCGGTCTGAATCTGGTTTTGGTTTTTGCTGCGGTTTCATCGGACAAATAAGTGGCCACATAATCTCAATTCACTAGGGATATGATTTGCAGTACCTATTTCATGTATTTCTGCTGATTAATTTGATTCTTGTTTCCTGTCCAGTACACAAATTCTATTGCTTAGATGCTTCAGTGGGATTTTGGTGTGTACATGTACCAGGAGAATTTTAGGATTATCATTTCCACAACCATATGGAGGTTAAATAGATGCACAGTGTGTAACGTTGCAATGAATTCTTTATAGAATATTGTTTCATATTTTATAGCTCCCTCAACTTTTAATTTCTTGAAAGTTGGCAAATCTTAGATATCTATGATCTAATCTACTTGTTTCATAGGCCAGCTCTATTTGTAAAGTTATATATTAGTCAATTAGCTTATGAGAAAATGTGATATTTCTGGCAACAGAAAGTGCAATAAATCTAATGTAAAATGGCATTAAGCGATTAAAGTAAGTTGATTGACAGTATCTGAGCGTTGTTGCTTTCAGTTGATGTGATTACGTTTTATGTCTCACAGGGTACGGTTCCACTACGGACATCCTGATATTTTCGATAGAATCTTTCATATAACCAGGGGTGGCATAAGCAAGGCATCAAAAATTATTAACTTGAGCGAAGATATATTTGCAGGTTGTTTTTATTCTTTAAGACTAACCGTATGATAAGCATTATTGGCCAACTGAATGGGTTGATTGCTTCAGGTTACAATTCAACTCTGAGAGGGGGATATGTAACGCATCATGAATACATTCAGGTGGGGAAAGGGCGTGATGTGGGGATGAATCAGATATCTCAATTTGAGGCAAAAGTTGCAAATGGAAATGGAGAACTTTGTAAGAATATAAAGATTTTGAGTAAATCTTTTTAGCACTAACAACAAATACGCAAATTGTTTTTTTTTTTTTTTTTGACAGGATCATATAGACGTAATGCCCAGTTGGATGATCAAGCTTCAAGCCCCTAAAATATTGCACCTTCTGCTACCCAAGTTTTTTCCCAACTAGTGAATTGCAATTATTGCACTAATATCAAGTCATTCACAACAATGAAACAAATGAAAACGAGCTCCATGAGCCCTGTAAGTTGTGACAAAGAATCAAAGACTTGGTAAATGCAAAACCTTTCCACATTACAGGAAATTTTTATCAGGTACATTAAGTCTTAAAAGAAAGAAACTTTTTTACAAAGATGGATCATACAAAGCAGACAAATGATACAAAATGCAAAAGCCTGTTCACTTATCTACCTATAAGACAAATCTGAAAACACAAAAGGGATCGGCTTGCATGCCAGTAATGAAAGGTGGTTGATTCAGAACTGTCACAGGTAAAGCTAGCTGTTTATTAACTACAGTATTTAGCAGATGAGGAAAACAGATGTCCATCGATTTTTTTTTGCCTCCCCATCAACACCTTTTATTATAACTGCCTGCTGAAATGTTTCATTGACAAGTATTATATGTTCCTGCTTTTCCTTTTGGTTTGGTCTAAGCGTCAAATTTTGATCAGTTTCATGTTCCATTTTATCGACATGGCCAGCAAATGCATCACTGGAAGGATGTGGATGTACTTAAAAAAGTCTGATATTTTTTGCCAAACTTGTTTAAGCTGATTTCTATGGCTAGAGAAATATGCAATAACGAATTCGAGGATCAACTCATTTCCCTTGTTTTAGTAACTTCTTGTATACTCAAGAAAGAAACAGCATTTCTGGCCATCGATCCCTTTTTTTTTTTTTTTTTGTGATTAAAATAGCATATGTCCTGGAATCCTCTGAGGATTGGAAGCTTAGGAAAATCACATCCATTGATAGGATATCTTTGGTACGAAAGTTGACACGAACGGAATTTGTAACCACAACCCCACAACACCTGTCGATGCATCAATTCCTTGCTGTTTCTTAGATTCCCTGAAATACAACGGCTATCTATATCCCAGTTCATCCAATGTCATTCCTGTCGAAGAGATCCATAAAAAACTCGAGAAGAAAAAGAAAAAAAGAGAGGAGGGCCGGGAAGTCAGCAAAGTCCTATAGTGTAGGACCTTTAACCCTGCACTGGCCACAGGCACCATCTGAGAATCAGAGAAACAAAAAGACTACCCCCACAAGAGAGGTCCCCGTAACCCTACACAGACTTTACAGACCCTGGTTTTCGTGCTGCAAGCCTGCAACCTACATGTGACAAAATTCCAATCATTAACGTTGTTTCCCCCACTCTTGCCAACCAATAAAAAAAAAAAAAAAAAACCACCCTCCCTCAATTATTAAAGCCAAAATTCACAAGACAAAGCCCTCTTCTTCTGAGATTCTGCAATGCCATAATAATTGTACTAGCTATATAAATCCAAACTTTTCAAGACTACTATTATGTTCCACACAAACATAATGTAATGGCAGGGGAAATGGGAAAGGAGAAAGATCAGAATAAGAGCATTACGAGAACAACAAAATGCGGTGTGAGCAAAAAAGGATAGAAGAACACATGCCCAATAACATCATCATTCTTGAACTTTATAATGGCTACCCCAAAATGATAAATAGTACTCCTGTAACTTGAGAGCATGGAAAAACTATAGGCAAAGGTAAAACCATATCCGGGAAGTCTCACCATCCCAATAAAAGTAACCATAGGGGAAAACACAGAGAAAAAAGAATGATGATCAGGATCATGATGCATGTTAAGAAGGCCCACAGCAAACATATCTGTACAGCAATAAGCCCCTCTCTCTCTCTCTCTTTCTCTCTCACTCTCACACACACACACACGAAAACTCTCTCTCTCTCTCTGATAACTATCCTCATCATTTCACAACATGACAGCTTGAGGTACAGGAGGAGGACCAATTCTGATGGAATTCCAAAAGGGCTATCCTTAATTCATTCCCACCCTGCCATGCAGGAATCTTTCCATTAAATACTAAGAAAATGTGAATTGTATAGAAGGGTTACGGAGAGCTTGAAAATCTGGAGAAGAACAATTATTCATCCAAGTCATGTGTTGTCAGTCCTATTCACGAATTTTATCAGATGTCTGGTTATCTGATTGCCCTACACTGCTTTCCACATCAGCTAATCCACTACTGTCCTTCATTGATTCAATTTCCATGCTTGCTGTTCGGCTTCTCCTGTTCCTCCGATCCTGTAGAAACATTATTACTTTGAATTAGTTTGCTTAAACTAACAAAGTTCTCATGAGCCTCCCACGAGGCTAGCACTATCCAAGATGCTTGATAGATCATGTTCTTATTCAAGAAACAACAAGAATGATTCAATCAGGAGAAAATATGCATTTTTAACAGAAATCCTTGTTGAGAGTCTTGTTTCATGAACAATTACAATGGGAACCTTTTCAGAAGTCCTCGACATCTGCTGATGCAGATTGAATCATGCACAATTTACGAACTCTACACATATAGACATCGATAGATGCTATTTGTGTTCCTTAATAGACTGTAGCCTTTACTCAAAGTCTTAAAAAAGGCCAAAGGCAACCATAAGCATGGTCTAGGCTTGCAGGATAAGTATGCCTGGCCAAAGTACAATGCTTATGCGAAACACTTTTAATACCAAAATCTACAGGTTATTCTCAATATCAATTTTCTAGCAAGTGGAGACTTTTTGTATCTGCACTGACATGTAGGTTAGGCACTGGTCTCTTTTCATTACTCAGAAGCAACAATAAGAGAGGAGTCCAAGAGCTTTTAACTATGACCCTCTGTTCAAAAAAGACAATTCAGTCTTCAACTGACATGTAGATTAGGCACTGGTCTCTTTTCATTACTCAGAAGCAACAATAAGAGAGGAGTCCAAGAGCTTTTAACTACGACCCTCTGTTCTGTTCAAAAAAGACAATTCAGTCTTCTTCAAATACCATATACATGCATTGCATGGAAGCTCTGACTAACTGAATTATTAGCATTTTTCAACTGGAGAATTCAGAACTTGGACAAACACTAAACATCCAATAGACGACAACCCATACAGACAAGTGAACATTTTAATAACACATTCAAAAATTGGGATTGGAAAAGCACCTCACGGTATGGAAATTCATCTGCCTCGAGCATTCGCACAACTTGACTCATCCTGGGTCGCTTCTCTGCATCAGGATCAACAGATCTGAGTGCCACCAAAAGTGCACGCTTTAAGGCACGAGTTGCTGGCTTTACTTCAAGGTCAGGATCCACAACTTCTTCAGCTCTTCTATGTCCTACCATCATTTTCAGCCACTCAACAAGATTCACCTGGCACAGGAACAAATCTCCTGGTTAGCCAAGCCTGAAGCCCATGTCCACTAATGCCCCAAATCCACAGTAAATGGAAAGACAGAAAAGAATTCACAGACTGTACCAACACTATCACAATCAATATAGTTTATAAGGATTCCATACCTCGTTAGCAGGACGGGCATAGTCAACTGGATCTCTTCCTGTGACTGCTTCCAGTAGTAGAACTCCAAAACTATATATATCACTTTTTTCATTTAACAAACCACTGTTTGCATATTCTGGAGCCACATAGCTGAAATTAACAACACAAAATGTTTAAGCATAAAGAATTCTTCGTATAATTCACATTGGATAATATGGAGGAAAAGGATAGATGGCTGAAAATAAAGAACCAGAAGGATTTAGTTAAAAACTGGCTTACCCAAATGTTCCCATTACTCTTGTCGTTATGTGGCTTTCTCCTGAGCCCAAGAGCTTTGCCAATCCAAAATCAGAAACCTTGGCATTGAATTCATCATCGATCAAAATATTACTAGATTTTATATCTCGATGGACAACCTTAGGCTCTATAGCTTCATGCAGGTAAGCAAGCCTGCAAAACAATGTGACACAATGTTCTGGATCAAAGCAATGGAGACACAATATATGAAGATTTAATTTTACAATAAGCGCTTACTACAAACTACAAGGTTTCACTTAGTAAGCAACATATTAGAAACAGATTGCACAAGTGCTACATTTCAAAAAAGAAGAATGGAAAAATCAGGGAAACAGTGCTATAAGAAGATGGGTGGACAAGAATTGCATCGCATTTTACCGATGGATTATGCTTAATCAAACCTGCAAGAGGTTAAAAAAAAAAGCAAATATGAAACATAGTTCATCAGATTTAATGCATGGCAGACTTACGCTTTTGCAGTACCAAGAAGCACTTTCATGCGTGCATCCCATGTGAGTGTCCCATGTTGTTTCATAGTACCATGAAGCCATTGTTCTAAGTTGCCATTATTAACATACTCGTACACCAACATCCTGAATTAACAAAAACAAGGATAATCTCAGCAAAAAAAAGGATAATCTCAGTTAATGGAGATGTATCTCATTAGACTGAAATTCAAGACTCAATAAGTCAATAAACATAATCATAATTTTAATTTTCTTTTTCTTATTATTAACTAAATTAGTGGATCAAGGATGAAGCTCAAAACCAAGACCCCAGCCCTGCCTTGTTTAGAGTGCTCCAACCAACAAAGCTAGGCCTTGGCTCAAACTTGAAGTTCCTCTACTACTACTGCAATTTGCAGAATCATTCAAGAACTATTTTACATTAAGTATAGAAATGAAACTGCTGACTTGAAAATTCAGGTGGAAAAAGAAGATTCTTACCTCTGAACCCCTTCTATGCAATAGCCCAGGAGCCGCACAAGATTCTTGTGCCGAACATGCCCAATGGCCTCTACTTCGACCCTGAATTCTTTTTCAGCTTGGCCACTGAAATTAGTTCAGAATTCAACCGTGAATAAGTTAAAAAAACTCCAAAAACACATATTGAAGCCATGAAAATGAAGTATTTATGTACTACTCACAGATTGTTAAGAAGCTTCTTTACAGCTACCTCTGTCCCATTGACCAATCTGCC